TTTTACATTTGATACTGATATTAGGGAAAAAAAGTGAGATTATGAGAATAGCTGGATATAGCTTCCAATAACCACCACCGGTGAAGTACAGATCTTGATAGTTCTCTGATATCTAATTTTATCCGAGAGATATTTATTTGAATTTGAAACAAGATACATGAATCATCCTATATATATATATGTACACATAAAGTGATAACGTAAAAACATGTTTGAGGAATAAAATGCGTTTATAACATACCTGAGTTTATCCAGTGTCCAATAATGTGTGGCGCCATTCTTTGTGTCCTGAACTTCCACAGCGACTATAGTACGCGGGAATGGTCTTTCTTCTTCTTCTTCGTCGTCGATGGCGGGCAAGAGATCCGGAGGAAGCGGCGAATAAAGTGTATCCGTGAGCAAAGTGAACTGGAATTGCACCTGTAAAGAATATATACGACAGTTTAAACGAAAATGAGAAAAGTTTTTGTTATCCGAAATAAATATAAAAATATGCCTCTGTGAGAGAATGAACCGATCAATGAAAAAGATCAGTAATGAATAAAAGATTGAGAATCTAGATCAACAGAGACTAAGAGAACATAAAGTAATTATTTGCGAATATAAAGTATTTCTTTAATTTATTAGAACGTCAAAAAGGCGGTACGCAAAAATGTATCAATTTTGAAAATTTTTTAAATCGTGAGTGATTCATACTTAAAGTAATGTTACGATCAATGATTGGTGAAAAAGATTTCCTTCGAATAAGATTCACTTCGGAATAATTAATAATTTTTGCGAAATTGATCAAGCGAGTGTTCGCGATAGCTTTTAAAAGAATATCGGAAAATGTGATAAAAGTTATGAACGTGTTGATGATTCATGTTCAAAAAGCCGCATGGAAGTTCGATTTTCACTTTCAATAGTTCATTGGAAAATGAACCACGGATGTACCTTCTTTTTGAGTTCGACAGAAATAGCGTTAGCTTCTTTGAGGAATATAGCGTTGCCCCATAGATCATCCCGAAGGCTTGTAAATTGATGATATTTCCACTTGCGGAAGGCCCAAGCGGCCAGTTGGAACTCTCTCTCGGTCCAGTTGCTCTCTGCGTCAAACAATGGGTTGACTGAAATGCAAGCCATTACCAGGCAAAACAGTCAGAAAAGCCAAGCATTTTATAGATACAGGTTCCTTCGTTAAAAGAAGCTGTTGGCATTCTGCCCACGATCAGATGATACACCATTTCATTTTACGACAAGCAAAGGAACATACCTCTAAGGAATATATACTTCGAAACTCGATTGATCAACAATGAAAAGGAGAAAAAAATAAAAATTTCAGAAATAAAAGAAATATAGTGATGTCATATCAGTTAATCACATGCGTGCATCGCAAGTTAATTGAAAGATATAATCGAACAAAGAACGTACATTTAAAGAGTATATTATTAATAGTTCGTTACGTACCACCATCTGATCGTCAGACCATACAGACCCATACAATAGTAAAATTTGTAATGGAATGGAGATTGAAATTACGACGGGCATCACTTGCCGTTTGCTAGATTTATCCCAAAACGATTTATCATATATAAAATTTAAGTGGATCCATTACAAATTCGAATCTTTTAACGAAAGGAATACAGCTATCCATTATATGGATCATTCTTCATTCGTATGCAGAGTTTTGATCATTGGTTTAACATTATAATATTTCAATCCGTAATAATTGTTCACCTTACACTACTATGCTTAGGTAAGTTTCGATAATTGTAAATAATTAAAGATATGTAGAATTTATCAAAATCATTGAGTATATTATACTCACCGAAAATATCTTCTTCGATATTGTTAAAGTCTTCAGGCGTGTAACTGCTGTACATTGACATCGTCATGCTTTGTTCTTCGACTTGTCTCTGCAATGCGTCTATTCGAGCCTCATAACTCTACGTAAAGATAAAAATGATCCATGTGAAGCTTTACATTGAATATTTATTAATGTATAGAATATTAGTTGTATTTACCTTTCTTTGTTCCTCGAACAATTGATCTGCCTCCTCCTTCTCTTTACGGAATTGTTCTTCTAATACTAACAATCTCTTTTCCATCTCAGCCTTTAGATCGATTCCTTGTTTTTCCAACAGTTCAATCTGTGCAAAGTTCCAATCAACTGTTTCTCCATTTCCAGGAGTTTCTGCAGGAGATCCTTTCTCCCTTCGTTCACGTACTGCACAGACAACAAAATATTTTTTCTTTTTTTTTTTTCAGATAATATCATAGTAAATATGTCGCATTGTTGATAGACTTTTACTCTATGTACATATATTAAGTAAAGTGCAGAACAAGCAAACTATACCCTGATCAGGATGATTGAATCTGAACACATGATTCCTTCCCAAAATGACGCGAGATCCAGTTTTCAGAACGATCGGTTCAGTGACCTCACGTCCATTTACATAAATTAAAGCGCCTTTCTTCGGAATCAGGGTTATAATAGCCTCGTGATTTTCGAAGACGCAATGCTCGCTTAGTATGTGAGGGCCGCATAATTGGATATCTTGCGGTATGTTAGCTTCGGCACTACCGATACGCGTGAAGCCATCTTTAATGTAATAAATCAAACATTCGGACATCATTGGATCCTCGTTCAAATTCACCAAGTGAGGAGTCTTCTTCGGAGAGAACACGCCAACCGTGACACCGTCCTCTTTCACGGCAACACCCATTTCGGCGAACACTGCCTCTCGTTGTAAACGAATCAGCTCGGTTCGTTTCAATTTTTCTTCCCATGTTTCATTCAGTTCTGCAAAATAAATAAACGAAATAATACATTTTTTTATACTCTAATTTCTACTATTTTGTTTATAATTTATTTTTAATTACATTATTATATTTATAAGTAATATTATACTTCTGTTTATAAGTCGCAGTAACACTATATGCGTGTAATTTATTAAGAACATTATATCTACCAGCAATAAGCTTTTCTGAAGCTTGTAATTGATCCACTGCTTCCTCAGCAATGGTCGATGTAGTGTGAGACGGAATTCTGGATCGAGGCTCCTTCACATCGTCCTCGCGTTTCGTTGCCCGGACGATCTCGTCTCCTACAGGACAAACAGAATCCAATAAAAGTATAAGAAGTGTAAGGAATAAAATTCAGAATGGCGAATCTCAGCCAGGGATGTCACACGCGTCTCGGAAACATCAAAAGCCATAACTAAAGCAGTGGCGTAAGTGAAAGAGAAAATTCTTGCCAGGATCTGTCTCATGATCTGTATCATAATGAAATATGTTCCTTAGAGAGAGAGAAAAGAGATAGAATACGTAACTGGACCTTCTCCTTCGTGAATAAAGCCTGTTATTAATATTTCATAAATATCTTTTTTACGGTATCAAATTTTACAAAAGAAAAGAACTCGAAAATTCGCTAGAGCAAAGACTTCTTTACCTGAGAACAAATTAGGGACAAAATTCAATGTGAAGTCTCAGTTAATAAAATTGAAATTATTTCAGAAATTTCCGAGAGTTAAAAATATTTTCATACATATTTTGTAAAAACAACAAATACAAACGATCTGTGTATATATAATAATATATATATATTTATGCAAATCAAGCGCAGCGCTCAATCAAATATTACTATTCAGCTACAATGTTGATTAAATTTGTTTGATCGAACTCTAGTAAACGGTGCTCGTCCGAGATGCGTTCGAATTGTTTATTGTCGAGTGCCATGCAATACCTTTAGGCTAGTTCGGGAACAAAGTGATGGGTCTAAATGGATAATAAGCAAGGCAAACACGTGTTTACTGGAGTAGGAATTCTCACATAATGGGAAACTATAAAGCCTGAATTTTTATATGGCCGTTTGACGCGAAACGAATTGTAATTACTTATATATTTTGAAGATTCTCTTGAACAGGCTAACGAGATATTTCTAAAAAAAAAAACGATATCACGATGTCAAATTGTTTAATTTATAACGCAAAAGTGCAAAATTTATAAAATATTCAAAATATTGCATTCGTTATAAAATAAATACTTTTCTTATACTGAGTAAAATGAATCTCTGTTTTACTTCTATTTCTGTGTTTATAAAAACATGAGTTTGTACCAACATCCGCAATCTAGACACATATATATCTGTATTTTTATCAGGCAAATGATATTTCCCTGAGTTTTCGATTAAAATCGAATCTTTTTATAGTGATTTGTTTTTGTCGATTAGTTACAACAGTTTTACATTTTTTACATTTATGTTTCATTATAATTCAAAATATCGTAATAAATGATTAATTGTAGCAACGATCAACTTATCTACTTATCTTTATTTATTGCTTATTAAGAAAACCGTACCGAATACATGTTTTATACTCGATTGTTTTATTCGGATTTAATTTAATATTAGCAGGCGTGAGATTCACAAGAAAGTTCAGTTTTATGAAACCATTCG